TGAAATGTCAGATGAGCAGGAGTTTGCAGGTGGCTCCCCCTCCCTGCTGGGGGATATTTTGGGGGGTCCTGACTCACAGGCGGTGCCCGGGGGGGGGCTGCATCACCCACCTCTCTGTGGAGGAGGGCAGGTGGGCCAGGCAGAGCCCCGGCCCCGCGGGGAGGGAGATGCTTTTAGCTCTGACTCATCCCCGAGCTGCCTTCGGGAGGGAGAAGCGGCAGCTTCAGGGAGTGGGAGTTGCTCTGCAATTTGCTGTTTACAGCCTTTGCTCGCTGCCTTTTCCCACCTGGGGACGGCTCTGAAAGCCAGAGAGCAGTGATTTTGTGGCTCACAGCGTCGGGTTGAAAGTCTGGCGTCTGCAGGAAGAGCTGGGAAGCGGAGAAGGGGAGAGGGGGAAGGAAAAGGCTTCTTTCGGGCAGGGATGGGATATGCACAAAATACAAATTGCAGCAGCAGCAGCAGCAGGTTTTTGTGCACAGAAGTGGGAAATGCTACTTTTCTGCGTGTGTTTGTGGGTTATTGTAACTGCAGACAGAGCTGGAGATTATCCCACCTGAATTCCAGGAGTGGTGTGGTAGCCACTGGGCTCCTCTCTGCCAGCTCCTGGCAGTAGGAAAAGCAGAAATCTCGTCACATTTGGAAAAAAATACTGGGAAGTGGATTTAAATTACCTGTTTAGAAACAGGCCAGAACAGCTGGAATTTATTTTATATCCAAGACTCTTACTTTACATCCAGGACTCTCTTATTTTACACCCAGGCCTCCAGCCTGTCCAGAGGGTTTATTGTCACACATCAACTTGAGAAATAAGGTGGGAAGGGGAAGAACAAGAGTTGCTTGAGCCCAGATCCCGGCTAGATGTTTGATCCCAGGCTCTAGTGTCATTCCTGCCACACAGGACCCAGCTAATCCACCATGAGTTCCTCAGACCTGTCAATCTTCCCATCAAACCCGGTGTCACTCGGGTCCATTTCCCTCTGGATGCATCAGCCATGGAGAATCAATTCCATGCCTTGGGGGCTGGGTAATCAGTGCCATTATCTTGTTTACTGCTTGGGGACATCTCTAGATGTCCTTGTAACACCCTGGTCAAAGGGGAGTTCGGTTATTCCCGTGTTTTCACGTGTCAAAGTGGCCGTGGGGAGATGGATCCATGAATCTTTGCTCTGCCAGGCTTACGTTGTTTTGCAGGGCTTGATCCTCTCCACGTTTTCTGGGAATGGCACAGAATTCATAGAGTGTTTTGGGTTGGAAGGGACCTTAAAGATCATCCGGTTCCACCTCCCTGCCATGGAAAGGAACACCTTGCATAGACCAGGAAGGGAAAGAGGGAAGAGGGAGAGCACAGAAGGAAGGAGGGATGGGGTGGGGGGAAGGTGTTTTTAAGATTATTTTACCTCTCACTCTTTTATTCTGATCCTGTTAGTAACAAATTTAAATAATATCCCCACTTTGAGTCTGCTTTGTCCATGAAGGTGATCAGTAGGTGACCCCTCCCAGCTCTTATCTCAACTAATGGATCCTTTGCTGGTTTTTTTTTCTCTCTCTGTCCAGT